AAGCTGGGAGGGGTTGCAAGTGCTTTGGAGGGTAGGAGTAAAATTCAAATTGATCTGGACAAACTGGAGAAATGGTCTGAAGCAAATAGGAAGAAATTCAATAAGGACAAATGCAAAGTACTCCACTTAGGGAGGAACGATCAGTTGCACACATACAAAATGGGAAATGACTGCCTAGGAAGGAGTACTGCGGAAAGGGATCTGGGGGTCATAGTGGATCATGGATCACAAGCTAAATATGAGTCAACACACAGTATAACACTGTTGCAAAAAAAGCAAACATCATTCTGGGATGTATTACCAGGACTATTGTAAGCAAGACATGAGAAGTAATTCTTTTGCTCTACTCTGTGCTGATTAAGCCTCAACTGGAATAGTGTATCCAGTTCTGGGCGCCACATTTCAGGAAGGATGAGGACAAATTGGAAGAAGTCCAGAGAAGAGCAATAAAAATGATTAAAGGTCTAGAAAACATGATCTATATGGGAGGGAAGATTGAAAAAATTGGATTTATTTAGTCTGGAGACGAGAAGACTGAGAGGGGACATAACAGTTTTCAAGTACATAAAAGGTTGTTAAAAGGAGGAGGGAGAAAATTTTTTGTTCTTAATCTTTGAGGATAGGACAAGAAGCAATGGGCTTAATTTGCAGCACGGGCGGTTTAGGTTAGACATTAGGAAAAACTTCCTAACTGTCAGGGTGGTTAAGCACTGGAATAAATTGCCTAGGGAGGTTGTTGAATCTCCATCATTGGGGATTTTTAAGAGCAGGTTGGACAAACACCTGTCAGAGATGATCTAGATAATACTTAGTCCTGCCTTGAGTGCAGGGGACTGGACTAGATGAGCTGTCGAAGTCCCTTCCAGTTCTATGATTCTAATACCAGTTCAGGAGACTTCATTATTTCACTTACCTAAATTCTCCTTGTAGTTTCAATTGCATGCTGTATTCTGCCTCACTTTCCATCCCAAACGTTGCAGTGTTCTGTGCAGTGTTAAACGCCTGCTACATCCTACCAGAGGTGGCAGCACTTCAGTGCTGGGTCAAATGATCCTCAGATAAATGAGGTTATAAAGTGGTTTGGGATCCTCCTGGATGAAAGGTGCTACAGCGATATTGAGGTGCTGACAATTTTATCATATTGAAAACTCCTCAGGTACCTCTCATGAACTTCATTTCTTATCTCTCTCTGGCAATGTTCCCTGTTGCCATAGTGATGGTTATTCCTTTAAATAGATCTGAGTCAAGCACAATATTGTGGTTCCTTCTCTGTTGTGGTTTAGTTAAAAATAACCTTCCTCAAGTCCCTGGCATCAATCTCTGCTGTATCTGTTGAGTGGGACATTCCAGTCAAACTCTCTAATTAGCCCATTCCTCTACCCAGTTAATGGACTTGCCCCCGCCACAGTCTCTACATTATCGCAGCAGAGATTTTTGACCCTAGACCTTCATCATTGGTAAATATTGTAGAATCTCAGTCAGGTGAGCTAAAATGGACCATGCTGAGCTGTCCTCAGCTGGACACTGCACTTTGTAGAAATGGTCTAGAATGCTGCAGTGCTTGGGGCCAATACCAATACTGTGCCTTTCCATTTGTGAATAAGATTTGGTTACCAGAAGGTTTTGGTTATCCTCGAGCCTTTCATGAAGGATAAATGTAGAAGGTGAAGAATTGTTGTAATGGTAGCAAGAGCCTATGGGGCTCGGCTTCCATATTGTACAATATGGAAGTAGGAGAGTCCCTTGCTGGGTTCATTCCCCCCATGCAGAATATGCACGCCTGCGCATGAAGGTATTCCAAGCCACTGGACAGCAGGGGCAACAGAAGGAAAATATATATTTGAAAAAAAATACCTCTCCCCTTCCCCAGCTTCTGGGTTTTAAGTGTTTTTTAAAATATCCACCCTTTGCTAAGTGCGAGCAGATTTTGAGCTTTGCAGTGGGTTGGTTTCATCTTGGAAGTACAATTGGTAGCAGATGCTGTGTATTGTCTAGTGTAACTAAATTGTTTATAACATTTACACATATTACCAGTTTATCAGGAATGGAGATGGCCAAAAATGCACACAGGTATGGCCCTTCGTTTTCAGTTTTTATTTGATTTAATTTTTCCTGGGAATTTCAGTGTTTATTACCACCACAACAAAATAGATGAAAATCAGTGCAAAAAATATTAATGATTTTTCTGGGTAAATATCGGGGTTTATTTTGGTGGCCAGAAAGCCAGAGGAAAAAAGTATTCAGTAGATTAATGCTTTGAATTCTGTTCATCAGTATGGTTTGCTGCAGAATTAAAACAGAACTAAAAGCACAATGCCACCTCTGAGTTTAAGAAAACAAGACATCTCTAATCCCCAAATAAAACTTTTTCATTTGAATAAACAGTTTACTGTTGTAGACTTTGAACTATTAGCCTACAAATATTTACATTTTATAATTGGGCCACACCATTTGCAGCACATACACTCAACTTCATCCTTTTCTCCTGTTTCTGTTTTTTTTTGTTTGTTTGTTTGTTTTTTTAACTTTTGAATACTTCCCAGTGTTCTGAAATGTACACTGATACAGATTTTCATTTTCTTCCCATTTTAGTGGTCAAATCTTTAAACAGTTATCTGCTAACAGCTTGAAATGTGTACGTGGTGGGCATGAGATTCATCAGTACGTTCAGATGTGCACGCACTTCAGAGCTTGCATGCCTGCTTGTTTATTGTGTGTATCTTTTAAACTAATACATAGCCTTACTTCAACAGGCAGCTTTGCATCTACACACAGACTAATGTATTATTGTAATACATATCTCATACAACATATTATTTTTTCCTAATAAAACAAGTTATTTTTTATATATTAAATGATACAAAAGTAGGGTGAAAATAAAAAAAACCCGAATAATACTTTTTGTAAAACCTAGGAATTTTTCAGTAAAAATCGGTTTAAACTGAAAACGAAGGGGCTTACACACAGGCAATTTCATTTGCAAAATAAAATCAGTTAAACCAGGTTTATGACTACTTAGCATTGCTATGATAGAGTGTCACTGTCAAACAGCTGCCATCTTCCACCCCAGAGAAGGCTGCACTCCAGTGATAGATGAAGTAATTTCTGTATAACCAGTGTTTACACTGACACTGTTTCTTTTGTCAGTTAGACTGTTTCTTTTGTGTTAACGTGAGATCTCATAGCATGGGGGGCACCTATGGGACTATCTCAAGTAGTTCCTTACTCATCTTATGCCTTTGGCTATACTCTGGATCTGAGTTTTGGATGGGACTGGAAATAGGGGTTGTTAAAATACAGTGATCAGAGTATCATCTCTATGCTGAAATCAGGATCTTTGTGTCCTCCTGTCTATTGCCATACTCTGGGACTACTGGATCCAGGGTGGTTCCAAAGTGTTTTGGGGGTATTTTACTGCTGAGTCACTGGGGCAATCTGGTGAGGTCTACTAGAACTTCATAAGCATGTCTACTGACTCAGTGGCACATACACACACCTCCCAGTTCATCATATTTGCAAGTTACCACGATTTCCAGAGGACTAGAGATAGAAGCGGCTATATGAGCTGGAGCATCAGTGGGGAAACACTCACTCTATGTCCAATTGATCGCATCAAAGAAAATTATTGTATTTTTATGCCATTGAGAGAGTTTTCGTCTACCTGCCATAACAACTACAAACTCCAGAGTCGCGGGCTTTTAGAAATATAAACATTTGTATAGTTTGTAAGTTGCTTTGGGATGAAAGGCACTATAAACAGAGACGTGTGAGATGCAGCCTCTCGGCTCTGGTTTATTATGCTGCAATAGCTGTCAGAGTTTAGTGCTTTTTTGGGTGGTGCAAGGAAGACGAGCAGGAACTATGAGGCGGTAAGTGATCCCTCAAGCTGAACGAGAGCTTGATTAGCTTTCTTTTTAGTGGGGTGGAGGGTCAAAGGTTCCAACATGGTGTAAAGGGACCATGTGTGCGTCTTGTCAATCCCCAGTGAAAAGAGTAGTGCTAGAGATTCCATTGCGTTCACATAACAGGCTCCTGTTTACCAATGTTGACACTGATTCTTTAGCACCCTTTGAAGAATAGTTGCTAGTGGGATGTAGAGACAAGGGCTCTTTGGTAATGCACAGTGCTGATCAAAGGGCAAAGCGTACTGAAGACTTTTTCACAGCACTCCATCTCTGCCTTCCCCTTCCTCCTCCTCCTGGGTAGCTTGTCTGGATATCAAAGGGCCTATTCCCAGGCCTGATTGGTGAGCTACTGCATACGTTAGAGATGGAAAAGATCTAATAGGTCATTTAGTCCATCCTGCTTCTATAACCGGATTGATCCGTATAGTTTAAGCAATAAATATTAGTCAGCTCAGCCTTCTTTACTGTACCACTTCTTGAAGAGTTAGAATGGCCCAACTTTGGCCAGTGAGATGATCCAGAGAAAGCGGGGGAACTCCGATCCTATTTTCACTGCACTATCTTAAATGTACTGATACCATGTATATGTGGGCTGGCAGGGCCGGATTAACTCTCCTGTGGGCCCAGGACTGTTAGATTTTGTGGGGCCCCTGTATACAAGTCTTTTTCCTAATTTAAAACAAAATTATCACTATTATGGCATCGAAGCTATTAATGCTATACTAAACTTGTCTTTTAATTAACATAAAGCATTTCTGTGGTTACATTTCATTCTTAAAACATGTAGACTATAGTTAAGTTAATTCAAAATAGCCTACTTCTTACCTCAGAACAGCTGTTATATTAGTTTCTTTCGGGGAGGGAGTTAAGGTGCAGGAGGGGGCTCCAGGCTGGGGCAGAGTGTTGGGGTGCAGGTGAGGGTGAGAGGTGAGGGCTCTGGGAGGGAGTTTGGTGCAGGAGGGGATTCTGACCTGGGGCAGGGGGTTGGGGTGCAGAAGGGAGTGTGAGGTGCAGGCTCTGACTGGTTCCCAGCTAATGGGAGCTGCGGGGACGGTGCTGGGGGCAAGGAGCAGTGCACAGAGCCGCCTTCACCCTCCCCAGGGGCCACAGAGACGTGCCAGCAGCTGGCCGCTTCCGGATGCGGAGTGAGAACACGGCATGCAGGCAGCCTGTCTGAGCCCTGCTGTGCCACTGGACTTTTAGCGTCCCAGAGATTGCGATCAACCGGCAGAAGCTCCAGGATCGACAAGGCGATCGCAAACGACGGGTTTGTGACCACTGTAATTGTTTATAATTATGGATTTATGTTTGTGGGGGCTCCCTTAGCCCGAGGCTCTGGACTGCAGCCCCTAAAGCCCCTGTGTTAATCCAGCCCTATGTGCTGGGACCAATGCATGAGCTGCAGGTCTCTCTAGAAAATGGTAGCCGGTGGTTTAAAAGGAAAACAGACGAGTAAGAGCTTTGAGGGAGGTGGCTGGGTTTTGCTGGCCTCTCTTTGTAGGAGGCCAGAGTACACCCTGGAGCTGAGAACTCTTGTTTCAGGCTTTGATCATGGGGACATCTGTAGCTGCAATGGCTTTACCTTTGTAGATGCTGGGTAGAGAAAACTGTTGCTCGGGAGAAATAGTAAACCTAGGAAAATAAAATAAGGAGAGTGTATTATAAATATATGGCAGAAAAAGCAAAAGCTAATCTATCGAAGATGGCTTGTTCTTGTAACCAGGCTAATAGGCCAAACAGATGAGCCTTTCCCCCCGTTGTTTTCAGGGCAGGTATTTTTCTAAGGATGGAACAAGGATTTATTTTCTGATCTCTAGATGAAAAAATGCTAAGGGTGCACAGTTAAAAATCATGAGATTCCTGAGCCACTTTGCACATTCTGTATAGTGCTCAGTTTATGTTTTATTACATAAACAGCAATACATAAGCAACACATTTAAGCAGAAAAACAGGATGTGGACAAAGCATAGCATATATGTGGACATGGTTCACTCAGTGTTGCTGTTAAACATATTTCTTGACTTTGGGTGATTTAATTGCACAATCTTCCCCTTTGCATTAAGGAGGATGCATTTAATTTCCTTGGTTCATTTTACATGCCTGTGCTTATTTATTTAATGCATTTATTTCAGTTTTTACTCTCCTATAGCATATACTCTTTGCTCTAGGCACTCCTTGACAGGCTGCAAGAATAAAATCATACAAACAGACAACTCCAGGAATGCCTCTTCATCCAGTTATTAACAGCAGTGCTTAAAGTGGTCCACAAAAAGTGGGGTGTCTATTATAATCTTGGAGAAGCAGCATTGGTAAGGTAGTGCTTAAAGTGCACTCCTGAAAGACCCAGCTCAATTTTTATTTTTTCCCCTCTGCGTCTGTCACCCCTTGTGTGCCACCACACATCCTTCCCCCCTGCTGACACACTTTAAGTACTGATTATTAGCATAAATCTTAACCTTGTACCATTTAAATGGACCCACTTAAGCCCTGGAGTTCAGACTTCACTGAGGTGAGTTCCTTCCTTCACAACTGCTGCTGTTAGGTTGGAGACCTTTTCTACAAGGCTGGGTTAACTGTTCAGCGGTGCCCTCAGTGTATGTTGTGATGACAGTAACTTGACAAAAGAAAAAGAGAGACATTTCTTTTGAACTGAAGTAAAGTAATTTTGGCCCAGTGTAAAAACAATGTTATAGGAACAGTTATCATATAAGCCACCAGCTGACTGAGATGATATTTGCTGGATACATTTTCAGCAATACATGGAACTAATAAGTTTTGTACTTTGCAATTCCCTTTGTACGTGCGAAGAGACTGATCCTTATAAGGCGGAAAAGCTCATATCCCACTTCTGAAGATTGGAATGTTGACACGGCAGGGATTGCTTCACACGAGCCGCTTATCTGTCAGATTCATGATAAAAGTGAAGAATTTCATGTGCTATGGAAAGAATTTCTCTCTTGTCTAAAGGAAGCCAGAGATGTGCAAGTAAGAGTTATGATGCATTAGATGGCTAGACATGGGGAGCCAGGGGTGTAGAAGTCCAGGAGATTGCTTTGTAATGTGGCCATTGGTTGGCCATACCTTGTGTTATTCACGTGTATGGTTCTATATAATTGTACTGAAATCAATACAATGTACATTTAAAAACTATATGAATGCTTGGCATTTATAGACTATAGAAGAATGCAGCAAAAATTCTTTAGAGACCCTACCCTTACGGCATTTCTGGTCTTGATCACACACACAATTTTGACCTGTCTTTGACATTCAGTTGAGTTTTGAAGGGGTAGGATTTTGCTGCGTGTGTTTCAATGAGTTATTTACAATTTCCCTCATGCAAGTTTTCCTGAGAGCAGCAGTTCCCGTGCCTATTAAAACAGGGAGAGAGAATATGCAGTGAAATCAAAAGGGCTTCATGTGTCTGAGCAGACACCCACACAGTTTGCTCAGTCACTAATACCTTTATTTTAAAAGAACATGTTTTCCCTGCAAGCCAAGGAACGATGCCAGTCCTCAGCGTTAACTCTGTCCTTGCTGAGTTCTAAACACCAGCTGTTGCTCTTGTAGCCTTCTTTTTCAAAGTATGGCTAGACCTATTCTGTACAGTTGGGAAAAGTGTATTTTATCCCATCACCTAACACAAGCACCTGGAATGATTTTCCTCAAACATTCCCAAAACATCACCTTCCGCCAGAGACTGACTGTGACAGATATGGGGAGAGCAGGGGGCTGATAGCAGCCCTGCAATGGAAATATTGGGGGGTGGATTTATGTCTCCACCCCCACAGTATCTTCTGGAGGAGAGCGTGGGACCCACTACGTTCTGCATATGGGGGAAGGGAGGGGAAGAGGCAGAGACCAGAGTGCAACCTCAAGGGACTTGAGCAGCTACTGTGGTGCACAATATTGGACTGGCCTCTGGGGAGCAGGTAGGACTCTCTGGCCTAGCCTGGCCCTGTCTTCCAGCCACCACAGGTCCCCAGGGGGAGGGGCAGAAGCACATGCGCCAGCCCCCAGGGTGGGATGGGATATGAAACAGGGCACCAGCACCTACCAGGGTAGGGGGCATCGGTGCCCAGGGCTGGGCATCAGGAGCTGGCTCCCTGACCCTAAGTCTCAGTAGCTCCCTTTGCTCCCCCTCCTATCCCTCCGCCCCCCCAGACCCCGGGCAATTTCAGCTCCCAGGGTGAATTTTTCAGAACAATCTGAGAATGTAAAAACCCAGGTAATTGTCAAGAGTTACCTTCCTGTCTCCCTACCCAAGGGGGAGGATGGGTGGGGCTCCTTCCCTTTCTCACTCCCTGGGAGGACATAGGAATGTCACCTTTTTTCTGCTGAGGTGGATGTTGGAGGGGATTCTCACCTACAGGTCCCAGCTCTCTCCCCCAGCTTGGCCCCCAGTGCCTCTGGTTACTGAAATCCTCCTTATCCCTCTCCCTCATTTCATTTTTGCCTCTCCGTCTCTCCAACTCCTTTAACTCACCCCCACTAGTGCCCCCTTTCTGTCTGTCCCCTCCCTCCTACCCCCCCAGCTGTCTGTGCTTTCCCTCAATAGCATGCAGGGGGAAGCCAAGGCAGTTTATTCTCCTGCTGTGCAGCTCCCAGCCAGCATCTTGCTGCTGGGCGGAGGGAGCAGGAGGCTACCGGCTGGCTGGCTGCCTGCCACCCTCCCCATCTAATTAGTGCTGAGATGCAGTCAGCAGGCAGGGGAGGTGAGACACACTGGTCTATTAATCTATGAGGCCAGTGTGAGGTGCTGAGGCTTTACTATGTCACACCCAGGAGCAGCCCCCAGGCTCTTTAGCCTTTGGTCTCACACCAGTGTAAGCAGCATTGCCAACCCCAGGCATTCGCAAAAGTTGAGTCCAGCCCTGAGACATCATGAAGATTTAAAAATAAAATAAAATAAAACATTCTGGTTTCTTTATATTTGTCCATATGAGCTGTTAGGGAGCAGTCAGACAACGTTTTCAAGTTTTTTGCCACAGCCATGAGGGCTAGCAACTTTTTTTAAATGAAAGTTGAGATTCTCACATAATCCTAGGGTTCCAGGAGCTGGGGCTTTCTTAAAAAAACCCTACAAAATACCACAAAACTCGCAATAAATTCACAAGAGTTGGTCACAGTGAATACATCCCTCCTCTTTCTCCAGTTTCAGCCCCACCTTCACCCTGCCATCCGTCACAGCCTTTCCATTGGTGTCTGAGTTTCACAGAAACTCCTGCTACCTCTTCACAGCCTTAATGGCAGGAGGCCAAATTATTCTTTCTTTCTATGGCTGGGGTTGCAGATACCAAAGACGGGGTTAAAAACCCAGTGCAGTCTTTGACCAAAACAAGGCAGTTGGCAGGTAGGGACTGTAATCGTGACAGCTCTCTTAAGCAAAGCAGGGTCAGACCTGTGGTTGCCAACTTTCTATTCACAGAAAACCTAACACCCATGCCCTGCCCTTTTTCTGAGGCGCCACCCCCACTCACTCCATCCCTCCTCCCTCCGTCACTCGCTCTCCCCTCACCCCCCACTCACTCGCTCATTTTCACTGGGTTGGGGCAGGGGTTTGATGTGCAAGAGGGGATGAGGGCTCTGGCTTGGGGTGCGGTTCTGGGGTGGGGCCAGGGATGAGGGATTTGGGATGCAGAAGGGGCCTCCGGGCTGGGGCCAAGAGGTTTAGAGTGCAGGAGAGAACTTAGGGCTGGGGCAGAGGGCTGGGGCGCAGGAGGGAGTTTAGGGTGTGGGCTCCAGGCGGCGCTCACCTCAGGCGGCTCCTGGGAAGCAGCAACATGTTCCTCTGGCTCCTAGATGGAGGGGCAACCAGGCACCTCCGTGCGCTGCCCCTGCCTGCAGGCATTGCCCCCGCAGCTCCCATTGGCCGCAGTTCCCAGCCAATGGGAGCTGTGGAGCTGGCACTCAGGGCAGGGGCAGTGCGTGGAGCCCTCGTGGCCACCCATGCACCTAGAAGCCAGAGGAAGATGCTCGCAGCTTCCTAGGAGCCATGCAGGCACCCTGCCTGCCCCACTGGGGGAGGCCAACCAAACTTTTAATGGCCTGGTCAGCAGTGCTGTAAATACTCACCAGCAACCACACATCATTGAACAAAAACACTGACCCAGGAACCTATCCTTGTAACAAAGCCCGATGCCAACTCTGTCCACATATCTATTCAAGTGACATCATCATAGGACCTAATCACATCAGCCATACCATCAGGGGCTCGTTCACCTGCACATCTACCAATGTGATATATGCCATCATGTGCCAGCAATGTTCCTCTGCCATGTACAGAGAATTAATGGACACAACTCTGCCAACTTTGATTTTCTTCCTCAAGAGACGTAATTTGTGCCCTTCATT